AGAGAAAACAGCCCTGGCTCTGTCTCGTATTCCTAGCTAGTGGGTCACTCTGTAACTTGTTGCTTTTGAGACCTTTCAGCAAGGCTGGCAAATAGTAGTGGTGGTGTGTTAAAACTGTAGATAGTCATGTAAACAGAGTATGATATTACCTGCAGCCTACCGTTTATCCAGGACATTTGCTTTTGGGCCAGCAGCGTTTTTGACCTCTGATGTAGTCTGTCCCAAAAGACCCATGGTTTGGGGGACTATTGAGTGATAAGTTTATGAATACTTATTTTATAATTTATCGCAGTGTTACGGGGCCTGTATCTACACTATTATTACCCTCATGCTGACGTGGCCCTGGTTGGGTGCTCTGGTTGGGGCACCTACCAGCTGAGACTCCTCGCTCCATCTGGCAGTAACCCTCAGTAGCCTTGCGCTGCCTTCAGGCTGACGCTGTGGGTTAGCAGGGAGTACTGCAACCCCTGAGACCCACAGGTTTGTTTCAGGTTGCTCTAACAGGCCTTTCCGCAGTTGATTTTTGCGGGCTTGCTGCCTTCAAGGAAACCATTTACAGCGTGTCAGAGTAAATGAGCTATCATTTACAGTTTTTTCCAGACTAACCCGAATAGTTCGGAGGACCCCAGGAAGGCCAGCTCTGGATCTCCCAGCATTCTTAACTGTCACAGAGCATTGCCAGATGTTGGGGAGTGCAAGCTGATCTTTAAAGCAGCCGCAAAGCTCCCCAACTTCTGTTTCATTCAATAACTTTTTGAAACTTAACTGGAGCTCTTGTCAGCAGAAGCTGTTTATACAAATACGAATGAGACAATACTCAAGAAGGTTGGGGAGTGCAAAGCTCCACGCAGTTCTGGTGGTGTGATTTCTCGTGCTAAATCTGACTTTGTCTTTAAATTAGTTGTTTATAATATCCACCACTTCCCTTTTCCAAGACAGCCTGACTTGCAGTATGAACCTTTCTCATGGCTTCAGATTCTTTTGTAACTTCACAGAACCACAGAAGGGTTGAGGTTGGAAGGGACCTCTGGAGATCATCTAGTCCAACCCCCCTCCCTGCTCAAGCAGGGTCACCTAGAGCACGTTGCCCAGGATTGTGTCCAGGTGGCTTTTGAATATCTCCCAGGATGGAGACTCCACAACCTCTGTGGGCAACCTGTGCCAGTGCTCTGTTCCCCCACCTAAAGAAATTTTTCCTCGTGTTCAGACGGAACTTCCTGTGTGTGTTAATGTTATAACAGTATATATTTGTTAATGCTATAACAGTATTATATCAACGTTTGATGGTTCTGCAGCATTGCTTTATCAGTTTTCTATAGAAATTATATGTGACACTAATGATATAGATGACTGACTTAGCAGGCAGGCTGCGTCTCTTTCCCTTTCTTTGTCAGTTTTAGAAGTTCAAACCTTTGCAATAGTGGTAGCAAGTGAGCCTTACTGAATTACACATGAACAAAACTGAGTGTTTTACATAGAGAATAAATTACTTCTACCTTCTGAATTTTTAGCCCAGGCATGGTACAGCATGTAGCTAATTCTTCTTATAGACTCCATATAGTATGCCTTTCACACAGTATCGGAACACATTGCAGTAATGCATTAAGCAATGACAGCACAGCTTGTTTACTCCTTCAGAGAAGAAATTCTTGCAATAAACAGCTTGGTTTTATTTTTAATTAAAGCTCTGATTTGCTTTTTATCTTTGTGGAAAAGGAACAAAGAACTGTTCTTGCCCCTTGGTATGTAAGGCAGAGGGTTATGATCACCAGTGGGCTTCTGTTAGCTCGTGCTCCAGGGTCTCCTTGAAATGGAAGTTCTTTCTGCATAAATGTATTATGATCTGACTGAGTGCTAACATAGTTACAATATTTGCTGTTTTGTCAATGTCCTAGATGATGGTTGTGTCCCTCTCTCCCCCCTCCCTCTCCCCCCCGTGTCAGGTCCACAGGCAGTGCCAGGAAAGAAGCTTTGTCAGAGTAAGATTAAGGTTACATTTTCAAGTTTAGGATCGTCGTGTACGCATTAGAATGGGGAGCACGATTAGTGTTGTGATGGGATTTAGGTCTCTCCGAGCATTGCCTTTCAAGTATCACCAATGACTGTCTAACAGCATGGGGCCTGTGCGTTGACAAGGAGGGGAGAAAAAAAAAAAAAAAGCATTTGTGCAGGACACAAGTATATGGGTAGGTTTTTTCCCTGATAATACAATGCCACCAGTGCCAAGTGCTACAACCTAGAAAGCACCATCACAGCCAGAATGAAAGTATGAAAACTTGGTTGATATCCAGATCGTACGTATCTTGTGTAGCTTGATCTTTGGGGCACTGCGTAGTTGAATTCCAGACTTTGAAAGTTTGTTCCAATGTTCTCTTCTTTTGTAGCAAGGGCAGGGACCTCATGCAGGAAAGTCAGCCTCCTTTCAGCAGGAAAATGAGCTGAGGAAGATGATCTTGGAGAAGGAATTCAAAGTGAGTATTTTTGGAGCTTTGAGCTGAGCAGCTGTCTGGTCTGAGGGGAAAGAGGGATTCTGTTAAGCTACCACTCTTACCCTGTTTCAAGCGTTACTGTTCTTGGACAGTCCCTTTGTGCGGTAGACTTGCTACTCCTTTTTTTCTAAGTTATAACTTTGCCCTTTTTGTTGTCATTCTTTGTTTTCTGTGGATGGTGCCATCTCTGAGGATGATACCTTCATAACCTTCCTCTTTGTCTTTGTTAAGATCAATGCCTTAATGAGAGAGAAAGAAGCAAAACTTCGTGCTATTAGTCTGATCTGTGTTCAGTCCCGAAACAAGTACTCCAAACAGCAAATCTGTCTGGATTTCGTCAATGGCCTTCAGGTATGAACTCCAGGATGTACCGTCTTTGCTCCTGCAAGAGAAAAGGAGATGCTCTGAAGCCGTTGTAGGTATTTTGTTGGTTTACCAACCATTGAATGGCCCTATCAGAATTCTGGAAGAGCAGCGTTGGCAAAAATGGCCAGGCAGCCCATCCTGTTGTGGTGCTGCTTCTCTTAACTGACATCTTTCCAGTGACAAGAGAGGACACCTTTTAGAACTGATGAATTCCTTTTTACTTGTTCCTGGAGATGACTCATACTCTTAATTCATAGCTGTAGGCCAGAAGGAAACACTAAGTCGATGAGTTGGCCTGATTTTCTGTGCAGTGAAAGAACTGGCCTTTGGCAAGCCGGAAACCGTGTGGTTTGGAGCAGGGTTTGCAACATGAGGAGCCTGTGCCGCTCGCTTTGTGCAGCGTAGTACGTAGTCCAGAGCCGTCATAACCAGCTGCAACAAGTCCTTCCTCCCATGTGCCACTGCTGGTGGTGATGCTTGGCAAGAAGCGTGTGGGCCCCAGTAGTGGAATATGTCCCTGGGAAGGACCAGAGAGCTGGACAGGCTCTATGCCAGTGCTCAGCACGGCTTTAAGCTGCAGCCTTTACAATTAGTTACCTAGCCTAAACCCTGGTGGTCTTTGAGGAGCGATGAAATGGTGGCTTGTATTATAGGAAATGAAGAGGAAAGCAGCACTAGCTGAATATGAGGAAGATGAGTATGAAGAGGAAATGGAGGATGATCTAAATACTCCGGATGCAAGTGATCTGGGTGAAGTGGGATCCTGGCATAATAAACTTCAGGTTTTCACAGTCAGTTCCACAGAGTACTTGAAGCTGCATGGGAAGCTGCTCCGAGAGGGACAGCCCCAGGTCTTTCACAACGATGAGGATACAGGTACTTGCAGCTGCACCTCAGCGCATGTGTCACATTGCTAGAGTAGTGGTCTGCTCTCTATCCTGTGAGTAATGCAGTGGTCTGCCCGCTTAACGTGGCAGGACCCGACGTAGTGATTCTGGGCGTGTGTCCCAGATTTATTTGTTTTTTTTTTTTTAAAACATTTTACTTCTTTCACTGTTTCTTTGAAATACCATTTCCATATCATCTCCTCCTATTCTGCAGCAAGTGTTTCCTCTTGCTGTTTTTATTCTTTCTTTGTTTCCAGTTATCATTGAATCCTCTCTTGAATCCTCCATCGTCCTGTAAATCTGGGGGGTTTGGCTCTTCATTTTCTAGATATTTTGTAGGTTCTGGTTGAGCTCCTTTCACTTCAAGAAAGATCTTTAAGCCAGAGTTCGTGGTGACGTTCCCTTCTGGCTGTTTGTTCAGAGATCCCAGCTCTGAAGAAGTTTGCGGTTCGCGCTGCCCTGCAGCATGGCATGGTGGAAACAGAGAAGCTGATAAGAGACGTGACTCGTGTCATAAGTCAAGTTGTCAATTACCTGACCAACCAGAGAGCAGAGGTAAGCATAGACTCGCACCTCAAACTTCGCTTTTTTGGTGTGAAGCAACTACTGGCAAGTTTTCTTCTCCAGAAGGGTCTCCAAAGGACCATGTGGAAGAGTTGCTTTGTGATGACCGGCATGGTCAGTAGAGCTGCACACGTTGCAGCGTGGGATGACAGCCACCTTAGGCTTTGCTCTCCAGGTGGGGAATCAGCACCAGGATGCAAGTCAGCAAAATTGGGGTTAGGGCCTGCTAGAATGCCTCCCTTCCTTACATGAACAGGCACATTAAGCAGCTATTTACTTCCTCTTTTTATTTTGTTTAGAATTCAAACCTGCAGTTTCTTTCTGAGGGGACAGTGTGTCAGCTTTGTTTTCAGATATTTTACATTGACCGGTTTACGTGACAGCCTAAAGCAAGCTCTTTGCTGACAGTAAAGATGAGAGAGAGTGAGACTCGGTAACTTTGGAGGAAAGACGGATGTCGCCTCTGAGCAAAAATGGAAATGATTCAGTTGTTCTCTGCCCAGCAGTGATGTGCAAAGCAGGCTTGTCCTGTAGGCCCGCTTTGATACAGTGAGGAAGACCGGTGTTTAACCTGTCATTAATACAGGATATTAATGAGCTCTCCTGCACCTTAAGCAGCATCTGGCTGCTTTAATGTCTTTTGGTGTGGATTTCTGACTGAAGGGCTCTCTTGGTTTCAGCATGGAGCATGTGCCAACGGCTTGATTTGGGGGATGTCTTTGCAAACTGGGTGTTACTGGTTCTGCTAGCTGCAGCTCCAGGTCGAAGAGGTGAGCAGCTGAAGTTGGTATGAAAATGTGTGAAGTAGTTACAGGCCTTGGCCTTTGGTCTGGCTGTTTGGCGTGGTGCTTTATCAGGAGGTGATTGGTGGCTGATGGTGGAAAAGCTGCTGGAGCTTTTGCTAGGGCATGTGGAAGTTAATTGGTGCAAAGCTGTCCGGCTGCCAGGCTGTGGGCTCTGAACAAGATTCACCTTCAGCCAATTCCTTCATTGCTAGCATCCAGAGACTGCAGCAATACCATGAGATGAGTGGTTGGGGTTTTGCTTCGAGCAGAGGTCTCCAGAGCCGCGTCTGCACTGCTTTGAAATAGTGGTTTGAGGAAGAGCCACGGGCAAGGTATATTCTCTGCTCATCACAGATCCTTCCACGGCGGTGTGTCTGGGCATGGCTGGCAGAGTGCCGAGCCTCTGGGCTTGCTGGGCACACAGGTTCTGTGGGTCTAGAGGGCACCCCCTGACCATGCTGGCGGCTGTGTTGGCAGGATTGTTGTCTGTGCAGTCAGATCAGGTGGTGAGGGATGGCGTACCCTGGACGTTACTCTGTGGGGAGACTTGTCCTCTTGTTAAATGACGTTTGCTGTGTGCTCCTATTGAGATCATTTCTACTTGTTCTCTAGGACCACTCTCACCAGGCCCAAGTTCAAGAAATCGTACAGACATGCCTCTCAAAAGTACCTGAGCTCCTCCAGGAGGCAGTGGATGAAAGCATCTATGAAATCCAGTACTACTTCTCTGTCCTGCTGCTGTCCCGTCTGAAGACGGGAGCCAGAAAGGCAGAGCACGTGTGCGAGGAGAAAGTCAGAAGCTGGGGGTTACCTGTAAGATGCAAATTAGGCTTTATACACCGGCCCCTCTGCAGCTGCCTATGACTGACGGCACCGTTACTGCTCCTTACTGCTCCTTACCACTTAACGCTTCATTCTCCGCTTTCTGTAGCCTGTCCCTTGCTGAGTGTGGTGGTAACGAAAAGAGAAAATCTGGCTTGTCCTAACTTGTCTTTGGGAACACAATGAAGACTGTCTTGTGCAGCATTTAGAGATGTAAAAATGCAATGCGACTAGGATGGGGAGTTCTGGATGGTAAAGATCATGGTATTTCATTCTTTTTAACATGCAGTAGTACACCTGCCTATATAGTTACTGGAAGCTCCGTATGTGAAGATGGGCTTTGTTTGCTGCTGTCATGCTCTCTGCCTTTCCCCTCTAATTAGTGCTGCCTTTTTGTTTTTATTTTTTTTATTTGTACAGAAACGGTACGTGCAACCGTGAGTTTTTCTCTTGGTTACCAGACTTCCATGTGACAGACTAAGCATAATGCCCATTGCCAAATCCATCAGACATGTTCTGAATCATCTGTCTGTACCACTGTAGTGCGGTTTTTGGCTACTACAAGAGTGGGCCAAGTAATTATCAACAAAAAAAACGAGCTACCTGTGAGCAGCTCTTGTTACGTAATTTTACTTCGTTTTTTACTATGTAGCGCTCCGAAGTCCTGTGCTGCTCAGACGCAGCTATAGTGCTCAGCCCAGGGTTTAAGAATTGCCGTAGCCTACCTAACGGGTGTGTTGAAATACTGTGACAGAGCCTTCCTCTTTTCACAGCATTGTGGATATCCATATGCTACATATCGAGCTGTGTGTGCTCGTCAGGGTGTGTACAGCTCTGTGGCGTGTGGGTTCATCGATTTCAATGAGCAGCTCACGGAGCCTATATACAGCACCATTTCCATGACGTGGAACGAGGTTTTCAGGTACCTCGCTTTGTTTGCCGTAGAATTCCCGTTGACCTGAGAGACTTCCGAAACCGCTAGCATTAAAACAAACGTTTCTTACTGACTACATTCTGTGCCAGTGACTATTAAGGAAGCAGGTGCAAAAAGGTTCTCCAGCCTCTCCAAAGCCAGTTTCTTCTGGGCAGAACAGGTATGAGTGCTCAGGAGGGTATGCTAGAGGTGGCAGAGTTCATAACCTCTCCTCAGTGGCAGAACCAGGTCAGCTCATTGCTTTGCTTCCTGTCTGTGTGCCGATCCCAACTGATTTTGGTGTGATTGTAGAATGGGAGCTACTTCCTCCAGTCAGCGCTAGCAGGGTGAAAGAGAGACTTTAAACTGTTGAAATACCCTTTTCAGAATAATGGAAGTGCCAGATTGAACAGGAGATGAAAGGATATTCGTTTCTGAGTGTCATTTTGGAAGAAATTAGGTTATCTTCCAGAGTTTTAGTACCCTAGAGTACATCTGTTTACAGTCATGTGGAAAGGGTTCACACCACAAAACTCAAGTGATGCAAAGGTTGGAATAGCAGAGCCGCGTAGAATCTGATCCGTGGTTGGCTTTTTTGGCAATGAAAGATTTTAGCCAACAAAGCGCAGCAGCTTTAATGGGCATGAAGAGCTTTGGGATCCTCTTCCTGGAAGTGTATTTGAGTGACAGTGCTTAGTGACAGATCAAGATAGGCCTGACACAGGCTGTAAGGGACAAGAGAGGCAGCTTGATTCATCATAGAACTTTGTGCAAATGCTAGTTATGTATAAAAGCTTCTTTTCTAGCGGTGACTTCGTTATTGGTCCCGAGAGCAACGTTCCTTCACTTCTTTAAACTTGCATGCGTTTACTTCCTTCAGCTGTTTACTGGCACTTAAGCACTTTATATGTGATCCAGAGTAACTACACTGACTCTTGCTTTCCTTTCTCTTCTTCCAGCTCTAAACTTGGTGAGTCTATCAGACAGTTTAGTAAAGCTGTTCTGGATAAACTGAAAGAGTTCTTCAAAGATCTCAAGAACAAACTCTATGAAAAAGGCAGAAACACACATCCAGTAAACCTCATACAGAGGCAGCAGATGGAAGCTGCTCAGGCTTTGGTAAGCAAGAGGGCTGGGAGAGTGGATGCCTTTCAAACTTGTCTGTCCTGTTCTGAGAAAAGCAGTTTTCCCTGTAGTTAGAAATTCTGCTGAATTACTTAATTTTGAGACCCTTAAATTGGCAAGTTCTTGAAGAGTGGATGTTTTAACTGAAATGCTGGAACTATTGAGTAGCTATGCATCCTGATTTTTTTTTTTTTTTCCTCCTATTTTCCCCTCTCAGTTATGTAACTTCATTCTTGATCAGATAGATTACATCAATAAAAGGCAGCGTGGCATATCTCGTGTCCTGACACCAGAAATACAGGCTAGCATGAAACCGGTATACGCAGGTAAGAAACACTACAGCTGGGTTAAACTGGATCCTCTGCGCTTGGTCTGGGGGATAGTTATTGTCTCTCTGTTCCTAAGCTCTGCTAGTTAGGGTGCACAGATACCGTGCATGGTGCAGTCCACGTAAATAAACAAACAGGGACTTGACTTAGCTGGGAGGTAGAAGCAGTTTAGTTGCGTTGGCATGATGCTCTGTTCAAACTGATTCAGACCGCTGACGGTTGGCTGAGGGTAAGTTAGCCGGGACAGAGCACTGTGCTCGTGTAGTTGCCCTGCCTCCATGAGGCTGCACAGGGTCGGTCTGCCTGCAGCGCGGGGAAGGTTAGACAGCGCCCAAGGGCTTGCGTGGTGAGGTAGCCCTGTGAGACCTGGCAGGCACTTCTCTCAACCAGAGATGTATTAGTCTCTCACCTCTCTTCTGTTGCTTAAATTTCAAAGTCATGACTTGATATCCCTTTACATTTTTATTACTGGATATCCATTAAACCAAGTACCTCCCAGAGAGGAAAACCAAGAATTATGCTGCAAGTGCTGTTGAGTTGCACAGTACCAGGGCAAGTTCTGTCATAGAAGCATCAGTTCTGGGTGAATTGCTGTGCCTGTCTTGCTAAAAAGTGTAAAGGGATGAACAGGGAGCTGCTTCTGTTCTGCAGCCTCTCTGAACCAAGGATAGGAGCCAAAACAGGGTGTAGGACTTTGCTGGTGGGTTTCTGATTGCGCAGGTCAGGAATAAGTAGAATTGGAAATGCCAAGTAATGAGAGAAGTGGAACGTTTCAGGGCAAGTTTTAGGAGCAGTGGAGGCCTTGGGAGGTGCCTCAGTATCTTCTCAAGAGGGCCAGGATATATCCTCCCAGCTAGAGTAAAGTTGCCGATAGACTGGTAGGTATTGACTGTTGCTTGCTGGAAAAAGCAGCAGGGATCGCATACAGTGCGCTTTTCATGCGTGTGCTTACGCTAAGCTGCAGGGATCGCATGCGGTGGGCTTTTCTGTGTGTGTTTAGAACTCCCTCTAGGGACGTGGAGCAGAGTTTATGTTTTTCCGGTTTCTTACTGCTGCTGCGGTTCTGCCATAGTGATGGTGGACTTTAAAGCTAACCCGCAGCAAGGCCTGGGGTTTGCTAAAGAAACCTCAGAGATGCCCTCAGGCTGGAGTTTGATTGTGTCACCTGGCAGGCAGCAGGGTGGGTATGTAACGCTGTTATGCATTGGAGCCTTTCCCAGCTGTTCTTAAGTCCGTGTCCCTTACAAGCTCTCTAGCCCTTGTCCCTGGAAGAGGAAATCCTTTCCTGATTTTTCCATCTGGCTATCTTAGCCCTAAATTACAAGGTCAGCCTTGGTTCTCTGGCTACTGCTATGCCCCTACAGCTTAGTGTGGACCCTTCTTACAAGAATGCACTGTTGCAAGTTCTGATCAGCGGTCTCTGCAGACTGCGCCTCTTTTCAGGAGGCGTTTTCTGAAGGAGTGGAATGTGCGTTCAGTCTTGTCAGGTTGTGCTGATATTCAAATAATGTCTGTCTTTTTACAGTTTGTAACCAACTGAATGGTCCAGGTTCTTTCCAGAGAATGAAAGACCTCATGCAGGATTATATCCATGAGCACAAGGAGAGCATGTTCAACGCAGCCACACACAAATTACAGCAACAGCTCGAGTTGCTGCAGGTGAGAAGAAGCAGAATTAAGGTTTCCCATAAAAGTGGTTGGCCTTGTGCTGTAGTTGCCGCTGCTTAGCTTGCAGCACAGCGCAGCTATAGCGGGTCTTGGAGAAAGCATCTCTGTCCCTTCGTGACTGGGTAGCAGCAAAAGCAGCTTGGAAAGACAGCCAGCGCTGCTCCTTCTCGACTGATGCAGTTTTTTTTATGGGGTTGTCAGTTTGGGTATTTTTACTGGCCATCCTAGTATAGAAGAGAAGAAACAATTTCACGCAAAAAAGTGTTATTTAATAAGGCATCCAGTGGTGAAGTTTTTTACCTCATTAGCTGTCTCTCTAAAGCAAGTTTCTCTAGACAGGTACATGCCAATGGGGATTATGCTGCGACTGCAGTCTCCCATTTCTCTGAATCCTTGAATCTTGCTGTATTTAAGTCATGATTAAGATGGTGAAATGACTGGCCTGTGAGCTAAGTGTAACTGAGCTTCCCTAGAGGCAGATTTTTACAGTGTCCTATGTGTGAAATGAGCCGCAATATATTTTTAAGTATTGTTGTACTCATGAGTTATGCAGTTCAAGTATCTTCAGGTGAGACTTGAAAAAAGGAACCATTGAGGCTGATGGCAGATCTCCTGTGCTGGTAGCTTAGAAAGCAGTGGCATGTTTCTGTAGCTCCCAAGGGCAAACCTCTACGCTTAAGACTGTAGAATAATACTGTAGTGACCCTTCAGAACGGCTTAGTACCAGTCGATAAGCAAGTGTGTATTTTGATCCCAGTATTTCTGAAACATGCCTAACAGGAGTCTCACTAGTTGCTTGCTTGCACATCTAATACAAGCTCCTGAAACAGGCGTCTGCTGTCAGGGGGCTTCTGCTATTCTGCTGTTCATCCTTCCTCCCGCTGCTCATATGTGGCAGATGACAGAGATCCAAATGCGAATGTAATCGAGGAAGGAGAGTAGTTCTTGCCTAGATGTTTGGAGTGCTAGACCTAGAAGAAAAGTGTAGTATGTCATAGTAGCTTTAGAACCACAGGTCCATATTGAAAGGTGTTCTGTGCTATGAAGGAGCTGGAGATTATTTCCTGAAGCTGTGTAGGTGAGGTATGGGTGGCAGCAGAGCACGGAGTTGCCCTGTAGAATTCCAGCCTGAGCCTGCTCTGCTTTGTGTCCCTTTGGAGTTTTTCTTACGCAGGGATTGACAAGAACGTTTATCCTGATCAGTGTAATCTGGAGGATGAAGAGAGCTGGGTAGGAGTTCTGCTACCAAGAGAAACTTGGTGTCTCTTTTTAAGAAAGCACTGTATAACGTGAAACCCTAATGACCTGTCACTTTCTTTCAGCGATACATCTGTGCCAGTTTTGAGTGGTTGGTGCAGAATCTGAATAAATCTCTGACTAGGCAATTTGAGCCAATGCTGAAGACTGTCCAGAAAAATGACAGCGTCGTTCCAGGTAGAGGGATCCATGTTTGCACTTCTTTCTCTGTTCTCCGCAAAAATGCTTAGTGCTAGGCTAAAATGAAATATGCAGCATGTGAGAAGTCAGCATTTTTCTGGGGAACGGTTAGGAGCTGTTTATAAACCCAAAGGTACAACACAGAGATGCTGCTGCCATCCCGGATGAATGTAGTTTGTGCATTTTTGAGGTACGCCAAAGTTTGCTGCTGGAAATTGTGTTCCCTTCCAAAGCTGTGAAAAATTACGTAAGTGTAAGGCTCACATGCGAAAAGGTAAAAGCCAAGCTGCACTTTGCCATGCCTAATGTGGCTGTGTGAGTTGTTTCCTCGGTGTTAGACTTGGTCTGCCTGTCTCTGCATGCTTTACCATCAGGCAGAGCCTTGTGCTCTCGTGTGTTGTATTGAAGGGTATGAGAACGACCTCTTAACCACACAGATGTTTCTGTGTCTTGAAAGAAGAAAAGCAAAGACGCTCTTAGAAGCCCAGCAGTAAAGCATAGGCCCCATCCTCCAGCTTGAGCTGGTTGGAGTAGGAAATGCTTCTCTCTCCGCATCAGCAACTTGTTGGAAGAAACGAAGATGTTTTAATTGCAAATGTGGGGAAAAAGCAGTGTTTACCTGTTGTGTGTGCACTGAAATGATCAGGACTCAGTTGTCCTGGTTGGCATACAGGCTCACAGCAAAAAGACAATCCCTGCTTAAAGAATTCATTCTCCAGAGGCACAGTGGTTTTAGACACTGACGGCAAAGGGAGAACAGATTTTCATCTTTGCAGGTTAATTTGAAAGACCCCTGTAAAACGAATATTATTAGTTGTGATCAGGAAAAGTTACTTACTCATGCAGACCCAATAGGGATGACGAGTGGCCTTTTTAAATGGATAGAGAGCACGTTAATGATGTCATTGTTTGTTTGTCAGTACATTCAGCTCGAGTAAAAGAGGATAAAAGACAGCTGGTAAAGCGTCAGAACGTTCAGACCGGGGAAGAGGCACGGCTGGGTGGATGCTGGGCCGTGACGCACGGCCGCTGGTTGCGAGCGCGAGCCTGCAGTATCAGCCACCGGGAAGCAAAGCCCTGTGTGCCCGGCATGGCAGCTGAGAACAGCCTCTTCCTTTGCTGTAACTGCAGAAAGTCTAAACTGCTGGTGCAGATCTCAGCCCAGGCAACGTGATGAGATTTTGGGGTTGGGACCAGCCTTTTTTTTTTCCTTTCCTTATCAGGAAGAAAGGCCTATTTGAGTTTTGTTTCATAAAAGCATTATGGCTGTGCATCACCTTGAAGCTGTTACAGCGGTAGAGATGGCAAACACCGATTCTGTCTTGGAAATAGGTTGCTAATAGCATCAGCCCTGCTGTGTAAACTGCTGTCCCCTGGAAAGTATTTCAACTAAGTTATTTGCCTGTTCTCCTGCTAAAGTGGTTATGTGGCTTTTTGGGATCTCTTTTTCTGCAATTGCTACCAGGTTCTCGCTTGAAGAAACACAAATCAATACTAGATGTATGAAATCCTTGTTGTAGGTTTTTCCTGCAGGTGTTCCTGTCGCAGTCCTGAATCATTAAAGGCTGCTAAGCAGAGCAGTAATTCTTCTTCCTTTAATGTTTTGTTCAGATTTAGTAAGCATCTGTGCCAAAGTTCACCAGATTTGTAAACTCTCCTTCGTGGATTACGCGCTTCCCAACCCTAGTCAAATAGGTGCCTGTTCCAGACCTGCTTCCCCTGAGAAAGAGCTGCAGGAGGGCAGGGAACCTCCAGACTTCGTGGGAAAGTGCAGTGTTGTCCGTATTGGGACTTGGCCACTTACTGATATTGCTTCTGTTCAGGTACTGCATCTAAAGCCTCTCTTCCCGGGGGTGGAAGGATAGTGGGAGATGTGCAAGAGAGCCTACCGGGGTAAACGTGCAAACTTTGGGTACTTTGGGCCCCAGTGTCATAGCATGTCGTCATACGAACCCGCTTCCTTGTCTCTGAGAGTGAGCGTAGATGATGCTAAAGGGAAAAAAAAAAATTAAAAAAGGAATGTATAGAATGATACCTCAGTTGATATGTCATCTCCCTGCTTCCAGCACCAGCAGTTTATATAGCCAAAACACATGGTATGATCTTCTTTCCTGCACTGAGGCTCCTAGTACGTACCCACTGCTGGGCCCTGGGTCCCCTCTCTCTGCCGTAAATGGCTGCTCGCTGGTGCACACTTTCTTTCTGCGTGTTTTATTTGAGGAGGCTGGGTTTCTTAGCTACTCTTAACTCCAGGGCAGGCTTGGAGCTGGGCTTCTTTACAAATGCTTCAGACTGTCACAAGGTTTCTTCTTTTAAATTGAATTTCCCTTCTGCCTAAAGTTGCCATGTATAGCAGCTTACCACAGTGCTTTTTCAGAAAATTTGAGATTTCTTTTTTTTTTTTTTTTGAAATACTACTTTTTTTAGACCCTGGTACTTCTCTGTTTTATTCCTGCGTTGGACAGCCATAAAATTTAGGTTTCTTTGAGAACTTTTAGGCTGGCTGGATTTTAAATTTGGATTTGTTTACGGTGGACCTGCAAAATCCACGGCTTCCTTTCACGCTATGTAGTCTGCAAGTCGCAGTGAAGGCCTGAAAGCTCTAAAGACGATGGGAATTGCGGTACTGAGTTCTCTCTTGCCCAGGGCACTAAAAACTGCTAGTCCCAGAAGGGCATGCGGTAACTGCTTGTGGCTGACGGTGTTCCCTAATTATCTTTTAACTTATTTATCCAGCCTGCCGGGAGCCTGGTTAAGATCTCGGCACCTTCTTTCTGAAGCAGCTTTATTTGCTTATTTAGCAAATGCTATTTACTTTTTTTTTTCTTATACGCTATATCTGCTGATTTGTAAGGTGAATTTAACAATGGCTCAGTTGAGAAAATGCTTTTATGTGGTGCTTCAGCTTTTCTTCACATATCTTCATTCAGAAATGTTAATAAACACACCTGCATTATAGAACTGTTTTGTAAAGGACTGACTGTTAGAAAAGTATAATATGGCATGTATGTTTCAGATTTCTAAATTAAATTTTTTTTCAATACTTTAGTATGATACATCCATGTATTCTTCCACAACACAGAATTTGCTCTCCTACAATCCCATCACGTAAATCCACTAAGGCAAATATTACTTACCTCACTTAACTGCTCCGATGTCAGCATGGAGGAAAAAATAACATTTGAGCATTATTGTCTGTTTACCTACAAAGGGGGGAAAAAAGAGTATGCACAGGGCAGTGAACTCTCCTGTCCTGTAACATATAGTTTATTTTCTAAATTATCAGTCTTACACAACTCCTCATGGAGTTCAGATACGCTACTGTGAAAACTGTAAGTGTCCTAAAAACGAGTTGTGAGATTACAACCGTCAGCAGCGTGATAGAACTAGTGTTGTTTGGAGGCACTTGTTAACTTCTAAGCTTTCAGTCCAAGTTATTACTTTAAGGAATTTTTTTACTTATATCCACTTCCTTCATATGCCATTTACTTCCTTTATAAATATGTTCTTTAACAGCAGACTTCATTATTTGGTATTTAACTAACTCATTGACTTGTGTACAAGGAGTTTTAGCAAAGTTACATTTAGACATTCACAAAGAGAGAATGGTTTTGTGTTTTTGGGAGCATCACTGAATCACGAGCGGAATTTCAGACTTCTTTCCTGGGATCAGAATAGTAAAATGAACGCAACTTACAGGTGTTGCTTTGAAATGGATTGGTGTTCTGTCTGTTCTGTTTGCTGTTTCTTAATTTGTCTTCTAATTAAGAATATCTATCCCTTTTGTTTTTAAGATATCCGTACAAGAAATCAGCTTCAGAGGTCAGTAACTTGTAATCATAAGTGATTTATTGTTTATCCTCACCTCCCCTTTTGCCCTGTGAACTGCAAAACGGAGGGAATGTGTGTAGCATCTGGAATTTGGTGTCTGTGTGTTTTGAACTCCTAAGAGAAGATAACTTCGTGCCATAGCTGCGAGGCTTTGGGTCAGCAGACACGTCCTCCTACTCAGGCAGAGCGGTTGTTTCTCAGTCGTTTCCCAGGCACCATCGTTACTGCAGAGCTATTGATTTGGGAGGGCTGGGGGGAGAGGCAAGGTCACAAACAGAATCATCTGGCCGCGCAAACTGCATCCTTACTCTCCTAGCAGAGCACATACACGTTTCCAGTGCTACTTTACCTGCACTTCCAGAAAAGACAGGCTCAAACTTCCAGCTGGGATCCTCTCCAGGCATGTAACCTGCTAACCCGTTAAACAGAACTAATAACCTGTATAAACCCGTTTAACTAGCGCTAGGATTTCCCCGTGGGAAATCTGCACTGAGGCTCCTAATGACTGAGCTGGTTTGAATTAAACGAACTATGTTTTATTCCCTTTGCCGTTGTCCATTACTTTAGCTTAATTGAGAGTTTTACAGTAATGTTTCTGTCCTAGGAAGCTGAGGTAGGACTTTACTGGGTTTTGGGTTCCAGCATATTTGTGATCAACACAGTACTCTCCTCCTTCCTCCCAAGGGAATGCAAGCCTGACGGTGCCATTCAGCAGCGTGTATCTATGTGAATGTTGCTTCCATTTGTATTATCTGAACCTGCACATTTCTCCTGAAGGTGCCAAGGACATTTACTCCACGTGGGGAGCACGAGCACCCAAAGCAAGTGAGTGGGACATGTTCCTTTAACTGCACAAAGTTCTACGCTTCCCTCTTTTCTCTCCTCTTCTTCCTGATATGTGTGCTCTGGTCTGTAGTTGGAGCTTGAGATCCTTCAACCATCGTGCTCAAGCATTGCATAGGTCAGAACTGATGAAAGCGTCTATTCCCTGTCACATTGGTGGGGGCAACCGAAAAGGGAAAGGCAAAAATAGGTCTGTGTGGATGTGACGGTGGGAGTAATTTGAGGGTTGTTGGAGTTTTTTTGTTTGGTTGGTTTTCCCCCCCCCAATCTTTGTGGCATTGGAAGATTACACTTCTGTAACTCACTTGGGCATTTTCACCTTAAAACGTTTCATGCCATTTTAGGGACCTAGGATTAGCACCCTTAATTGCTCCTGATGTTTCCCTGTAAAACACTAGTTCAGGGGGCTGCCGTTGCTTTAACTAAAGGTCCCAGCAAGTGCTGGGAACATGCAAGAGTGTGTCAAGCGGACATTCAATGTGTTCCTTCTCCTTTACACCGAGTGCGGTGGGAGACCCGTAATGTCCTTCCTGTCCTGGCTGCAGGAAGTATGTGTGTCGAACTAACCGGCACCACAGCAAATGCCCTTCTTCATTTCGCTTTACTGGCTTGGACCCGCAGTCGCTCTAATGAGTTTCTTTCTGTAACTGGCGGCGTTGTGGTTCTCTAGCAGCGAGTCCCATGATGAGAGGACCATCAAAACTCAAATGGACCTAAATTACAAAGCTGATCTTTTCACATGCTTGGGGTGACATCAGTAGGATGTAGGAGAAAAAGTAATAACACTGTTAATCTTCAACACATGAAGGCATTTCTGCGATGCCTTCTGTAATGTTGTTCGATTATGATGATTTTTCAGGCCTAGGTAGCGAGGAGGTTCTTGTTGTCCTGGAGACACCAGAGGATCCAGGGTCTTTCCGTAGGTTGATTGAATTCATAGCGGAGAGACGCTCCGGCACTGCCTGGTTCCGCGAGCTGAGCCTTCAGCAGGGAAGAGAGAAGCTGGAGTCTCTGCAGGTGTATTACACAGCTGGGGTGAGTTGTTCTCCATCCTCTTTGCGGGAATAGGATATTGCAGGAAGACTGCTGGACGCTTGTTACCAGAGAGAGAATTGCACGTGGGTTGCTAAGGAGAAAAAAAAAACAGTATTAAAAAAAAAAAAAAAAATTTAAAAAAAGAGAGAGAGACCGACCTGCAGCCAGCAACGCGCTCTGCCACTGAGACAATTCAATAAGTACTGATTAAAAAAAAGACTACTCAGAAATGGAAAAACTTTTAATATAACAAAGCCCTTCTTTTCTAACCAGATACTTACTGTTTAATACCCCAAGCTTTTCTGTCTTACATCTAAACAAGCAGGCATGAACTGTGTATGAAATAAGGAGATTTTTTAGCTTTAGCTTTTTTAGCTTGTCCACTGAGACAATTCAATAAGTACTGATTAAAAAAAAGACTACTCAGAAATGGAAAAACTTTTAATATAACAAAGCCCTTCTTTTCTAACCAGATACTTACTGTTTAATACCCCAAGCTTTTCTGTCTTACATCTAAACAAGCAGGCATGAACTGTGTATGAAATAAGGAGATTTTTTAGCTTTAGCTTTTTTAGCTTGTGCTGAGCTTTAGCAAGACAGCCCAAAAAGTTTTCTGAAAACAAATTCTACTGTAACAGAAAATTTCATCACTGTGGGTAAGTCACCTTAAAGACTAGTGAAGTCTTTGAAAAGAAGGAAAAAAAAGTCATTGATTCTGGAGCCAGCGTAAGGTGGCAAGTTCTGAGTGGCTCCTGCTGGATTTCAGGAGCTTTTGGCGAGCCCCACTGTGCATGGAGTTGTAGCACAGAGGTGCCCGGGGTACCTGCAGTTAGCTGGCTTGAAGACCCCGGGCAGCAGAGAAAAGGGAATAGAACAGCTCGTGCCGAGTGCCGCGCTGCAGCAGCTGGTGTCAGGACTCGCTGCTCATGCATTGTAGACATAGCCTTTTGTCTGGGCGTGAATTATCCAGGTTCAATCTCTACCTGTCTATTTTTGAAAGTCTTACAGCAGAAGACTTGTAGTTTAAATGAACTGCGAGCCTGTGAAGTGTTCGTGCTGCCTGACTAGCAGATTCCTTTGGGGTTTTTTTTTTCTTTTCTCTTGTTCTGGAAACATGGGAGATGAGTTAGTTGTTTTTAAGCAAATGAAAACCTTTGAAATGTTTCCACAAAACATGCAGTAGATGTGTGACACAGATCAGTGTTGCTGCAAGCCTCGTTTGGTAACCCTGGCTGTTAAGCTCCAGTTAACAGATAACGGACTTTTATTTCCTTTCCACAGGAATCAAAATACGCTCGTAGAGAAGAACTTCCTGAGATTCCAGCTTCTAGTTTGCCAGAGGATTTACCAGCAGGTGGTTCTACCGCAGGTCAGCCCCTGATTGTTGGCCCATGGTTGCACGCAAACAGCAGAAAGAGAGGAGGAGGAGGAGAAATCCTGTCACAGCCAGAGAAGAAACACAAAGGCAGTGCTGCAGAGAAGAGCTCAGAGCTGAAGCCAAGCTGAGGTAACTTCTCCGCTTGGTCAAGGCTGCGTTGTTCAGCCATTGGTGCTGTGCATGGTGTCAGCTGCATGGAGCTGAAACCAATGGCTGCAGCAGCAGGATATCTGACGCTACCCCTCCCTCACTCCCTACTTGCGTAGCTGTTGCGCTTGTCAGGAAAATTATGGTTTTGAGACAAAGTGCCTGCAACCCCAAGTTCAGAAAAGACGGTTAGTAAATGTGAATAAAAGCTGGCGTACAACTGTTCTGCAGCAGCACCGCTCAGAGTGAATGAGAGTTTGTCTGATAATGCTCCTAGTTCTGAGGCTCCAGCTGGCTGCCTGTCTGTGTAGAGAAAGTCCTTTTCGTTCCAAGGAACGTAGCTTGGCTATTCCAAAATTGTCTCTGTTTGAATCCCGGAGTTGGACCTGGTGCAGAGAGAAAAGATCTTTGCCACCTTCAGGCAGAGCATCAGTTTGGGATAAGGCAAAGGCTGTATGGGTTCCTGCCTTCCCAGGACTTTCATATTGGAGTTTGGATTGGAGACTGTACGATTCTGTGGCCCTGTCTTGGAGACGTGGTATGTCCGAGGAGGGCAGCGGACAGCCCTGCTCAGTCGCAGCTGCCTCTTCTTGCAGTGGAACTTCCAAGAACACAGACATGCAGAAGCTATTGAAAATGTTTACAAAGACCTGATTTTAGCATAGCTCTGTTAATTACCATTAATTTTACTAATCTTTCTCAACTCATAAGTCTGCATGTTATAGCATACCTTTTTCTCTAGCCCTTTCCTGTCAGAAAGGAGGCATTTGCAATTGAAATGCATCTCCGACTACTAAAGGTCTATTCTTCAGCCCTTTTACCTAGCGCAGCTGTTACGGCTGTGCAGCCTTGCTGCCTTGTCCTCCACAGGGAGTTCCTGGTTGCTCCTTTCTAGGGAAAGGACTTTTGTCATGCCGCTGGGCAACTGGGGGGTCTGGAGTTAAGGACAACGTCAGCTCTCTCTTTGCTTCTGCTGTTTGAGACTTATGCTGTTGAAATGTCCTTTCTTGGTGATGTTCTTCTAATTCAGCCAGCACATACCTGGCAGTCTGGAGATCTCAGCCAAAAGCGCCTCGCCAGGCGAAGCCGCGAGCACAAGCAGAGCGTGCCTGCAAGGATATTACCAGTGGACTGCAGCTTCCCTTCGAGGCACAGCCTCATCTAAGGTATCAAACTGCTCTAAACGTGGGCCCCACGCTGTGAGCACGCTGCAAGTGCCCCTCATCGAGGGCTTCACGTACTCTGAATTTTAGCATTGGTCTTGTGTGACTGTTCTTCATGTATCTGACAAAGAAGTGTCCTTTGTGGAGGATCTGGTTATCAGTTTGAAAGCACAGTCGGCTGGACTGTAAGCTCAAGGGGATGGAATGAGCTCATCTGGGTGTCCCCTTTGGTGTTTAGAGGATGGCCAACAAAAATGGGCTTAAGCAAATAATATTGCTAAGCGGTTTGCTGCAGTTTTAACTGGCTAGCTACAGCTGTTACGATGCAACGATCACATCACAGAAGAAGTTAGGATGCCTTTGATCAGATGTTAATTACTCGGCCAATTCGTGTAGCAAGTAACAAGTTAAATTCTGATGTGAGCAGTAGTGTGGGTGATTGTGCTGATCTTGTAGTACTTTGAAGAGCCAGCTTCCTTTGAGGCCAAAACCCAGCAAGGCACTACGTAGCAGTGAGGGCCTAGTGAAGAACCTGCCTGTCTGCAGGACAGAAAGGGCTATTTTGTCCCTAGATCGAGCTCAGTTTTACCTGTGTCAGCTGGTGATGATTGCACCTGTGTTTGACTTACGGAAATACAAGAAATCCTCAAGTCCGTTCTCGTCAGTGGTTGTTGAACAACTCCGTTCTCCCTCCTTCGCACAATAACGTGGAATATTTCCTCAGATGTTACAACAGCCGGTTGTTAAATTCTAAACCATGCCAGCTTTTGATGTAACACTACTTATCAGTCCTGGACAATATCATGAAAAGCTCTGTGGAAAATTGGGATTTATGAGGAAATTCCAACAGAAATGAATGTATTTCTTCATCAAAGCAAAAGAGAAAACAGGGTTCAGCTGTGTACGTTGGGAATCTGGAACCCGTGTGACGACTGTTGTTTGTTTGAAACCAGACAACTGAGGCGAAAACTGGGTCTTTAGTTCTATGACTGTTCTGCAGAGTGATGACTTCTGTCTTCCAGCTCATCATCGTGTTGTTCACACAATCAAGACATGCAACAGCAAAAAGCTTTTTGTAAAAATAAGTGGTGATTGATACTATGGAATGTTTTGATTGTGGAACAAATGCATTTGTGCTTCCTCGTAAGAACTCCTAAACAAGGTGCTTTTATCAGAATAATTCTTGTAATGAAGCAAAGTATATTCTCCATGACATGGCCTTGTGCAAGAGGAAGCTAATTGTTGCTTTGAGAAATTAGGTCATAAAGGCTGCAGGACTCGGGGAGCAGTCTAGAGCAGCATCTAAGAAAATACCTTACTGACTCACCTGACCCGCTCAGATCCAGTAAAGACTGACTTTTGGCTCCTCACACCTACAGAAGTAGATAAACTGAGAAGTATTTAAAAGGAGCTCTCCGCATAATCGTTAGTTGTTCCCCAGCTTATTTACCCCAGGCAGGTTGCTGGCAGAACCGCTTTAAAAGCTTCTTCCTAAGCAGTTGCAGTGGCAGCAGCTCCTGGGACTCTTGCCTTGTTGAGCCCTGAGCGATAGGAGCAGGAACAGCTCAGGGTTCAAATCGTGCTTCCTATGACTTGCGCTATGATAAACGTAACTGACTGGTTCGATTTCCTTCCTCAGGCAGAGGTGAAACATGAGGCAGACCCGTTCCCCATCCTGAGCTCGGCAGGTGAGTGATAGCAGCTGTAGCGCAAACGCCCAAACCGTCCGGTCTGGGGTCTCATCCCCTGCTATTGCAGATGAAGCACACATGTATTATCCTGCCTGCTCGGATCAAAATGGGTTGTTGCCATTTGGAGCCTTGTTTCCCAGTGCGGGTGCAGCCACAGAGACAAAGCAGAGCCAAGGAGTGACTCGAGTCCTGCTTGGTCCACTCGCCCGCGTAGCAGGCGGGCAGGCTGGCCAGGCACCATGTGCCCTTGGCAAATCCTGGCTGGTGGCTCCCAGGCCCCTCCTTGTCTTTCCCGACTGGGTGGGGCTTGCAGGAGGGTTTGCTCTGTGCCCTTCCTGGGGACTGAGGTGAGGCTGAGCTGTTCCCCAGATCCTCCCCGTCCTTCTCAAAGGTGGGTGTGATGCTGCCTTTTGCTAGTCCTCAGGACCCTCTCCTGATTGCCAGGACCTTTAGGAGGTGAAAGCAGCCCCGCAAGGGCATCAGCAGCTCCCTCAGCACCTTCGTGTGCCTCTGTCCAGCCCTGCGACCGTGTTTGTGCCCAGCTGGCTCACACTTCACTTGTGAGCTGAAGTGCTCCCCAGCCCCACCTTCCTCTGCAGCGGGGGATGCTTTGCTCCTACAGACTGCCGTTAGGCACAGGCACCTGGGAGGCCTGGCCTTACCTGTGAAAACCAAGGCAAAAAAAGCATCGAGTACTTCAGCCTTTTCCACGTTCTCAGTTACCAGGTACCTTGCCCCACTGAGCAGTGGACCACAGCCTCCTTAGCTTGCCTGTTGCTGCCAACATCCTCTTAGGAGCATTTTTGTTCCCCATCACCTCCCTTGCTAGTTCCACCTCCAGCTGAGCTGTGGCTCTCCTCACTCCACCCCTGTACGTCAGGGCTGAACGTTTCCAGTGAGCACAGAAAATCCTTGTCATACCTCATTTCATCTGAAATAGTCAGTAGGGCTCAGACACTGTTCAGAAGCACTGTGGTGAGGTGGTTAAACCAGTAAAGCACTGCTTCCCATTTGGAGACCATCATGCGGGTGGACAGAAGAGCTGCTGGAGGGAGAAGAGGTTGGATGACTCTGAGATTCACCCTGCCTCTCACTAGTCTAGTGATGCAGCTGCTGTCTTAGGGAAGGGAGAAAGCAGCTTTGCGGCAGCCGTCGGTGTTTGCTGTCTGCTGTGCTATACCCTGTTGTAGCCAGTGCTGGGAGCGCTTTGCACGTGTGATTGGGGCAGGGCAGTCTGTTGCTTCAAGCCTTTCTTGTCTTCAGTGCTCAGTACAGCTGTGTGGGCAATGCCAGCCTGTGCTCCTCTTTGATCGTGTGAAACCTAAAGAGCAGGGAAGAGATGAGAACTGCAGAGAAAGACTGCCCGGGAAAATAAAGAGGGAAGGCAAAATACACGGGGAACTAATGGGTATGGGGTAGAGGTGAAGATATCCAGGCGATGAGAAGATGAAGAGAATCGGTAGAGGGCATAGAGTTGTTTGCTCCAGGGCACGATGCAAGAGGGGATGAGAGAGAGACGTGTCCAGCCGCCAGTCCAGGCGGCGAGAGATTCCTGCAGAAGGGCTGGTACCCGTTAGGCCAGAGCACTGATTTTTTTTTTGTAGTGATAAGTCCAGGCTGACAGCTTGAGCTAATCTTCATTTTCTTCTTGCAGCCACTGCAGGTCTCTCCCACGTCCAAGACGAAGAGGGCGCTTGGAGAACGTGGCAGCCCCCAGAACCTCCGGGAGGCAGCAGCTCTCGTGGGGATGCAAAGGAGACGAGTGGGAACGCGCACCCAGCAAGGGGCTTCTGGGGGCGCAGTAGGCACCTTAGGGAGTAGTCTGTGTGTTGCAGTAATCTCCTTGCCTTGCATACGGATGTAGTCAGACATTTTAGTGATACGGAAGGCTGCAGAAATGATCAAGACATGATTCAGAGCAAATCGTATCACTCAGCCTTAGGCTGATCAATTACCCTTCAATAACCACCACTTGCTGAGCCCAGTCCAGGCGTTATCTGTGCTCTGCTTCAGTTCTTGGCTTCCTGGGAGGACTGTGCCCAACAGAGCAAGAGAGAGCTCTGGCGGAAGGCTGCAGCATTTGCTTGAATAATACCTGATATTTCTTGCCTTTGAGAGGAAAAGTAAGCCAAATTATCCACATGCAAGAATGATACAGACCTGGGAGTCTGCCTCTGTCCAGAACACCGTTCCAGAATGCATCCAGCAACTTTTCAGCGCGGCTTTGAACAGAGGAAAGAATGAAACAGGTTGAAGCAAAAGAAGAGGAAAGGCTTCCTAAATTCATTTGTTGAAAGTCTGTCTGAAGTCTCTTGAGACATCTTTGTAAGTCCAGAGCCATACAGTCAGTTCACCAGCTTGGGGAGGGGAAAAGGGATAGTGTGAATTGACTAGTGAAAAACCTGTGCAATAATTAGGATGTTGGTTGCCAGAAAAGGAAGGGGAAAAAAAAAAAAAACAGAAAACCAAGAAGGGCAAATGGCGTCATAACGGGAGGGCACCAACCATCAATTTGTCTTGTGGCTTGCAGCTGCGCAGTACTCAAATCTGCAGGAACAGGGGCGGAAAAAAGTATTTTGGAGTTTAGAAGTGTTGAATAGCATTTATTTAGGGGTTTGTTTTACTGAATGTCAGAAGAGTTTCCTTCTCTCAGCTGGCCTAGCCAAAGGCGGTGGCGACTAAAAGGCCTGGATTTTTTTTGTTGGTGCAAGTGGCCATCCTTGAGTCTCGTCAAGTGAGCACTTCTTTCGTGGGGTTACGCGCTCGAGTGTCAGCGAGGAGGCTGTGGAGATGGGGCTTGCCTTCGAGCCTGGTTAGTTGAAAGGAGAAAGCCCAGGTGACGAAGGAAGGAGGAGCGGAGTCCACGTGGTCAGTCCCCAGGGAAGGGCCCGGGTGGTACAGCTGCGTTCCCCTGCGTTTGCTCTCCAGTTTCAGAAGGGCGTTTGTGCTCTGCGGTCGTCTTGAGAGCCCCCGTCCTGTCTTCTGTGCTCCCTCTCCTCTGCCCCTGTCCTTCCTGTGTTGCGCTGCCTCGTTGTGGGATTAGGACGTGCTTTAAGCACTTCATGTCGTTGGTCAAGGTGGACTGTTACCACGCCTGGGACTTCTGGGAGTAAAGCAGATGGAGGGTGGGAGCGGCGCCCTGGAAGCGAGTCCAGGTTGGTAATTTCGGAAGACCAAAGTTCTTTCCTTAAGCTGCCGTACTGTGCTAGCTGCTGTCTGTTAAATCACGCACTTTATTTTTGCCTTTTCATTTTCATGTAATAAAAGAGCGCGTCCTTCCAGGGCACGGGACCGTCTCGGCCGAGGAGCCGGCCAGCTCCCGCGGCCCTGGGGCTCGCGCTGACCGCGGCCCGCTCC